ATGTAACATCTTCATAATAGGGTTTCGATTTGTCTTGTGAAAGATATTTATAAAAATCTCGAACAATTTTATATTTAGGCTCGTTTAAATGGTGACCAACAAGGATTACATCATCGCATTTAACATTGCGCTCCCCTATTTTAGAACCTTTTTTCTTGAACATGTAGTAAATTTTATTCATTGCTAACAGATTTAGAACCATATTTGTTTTACCCGAATTGCTAGCTCCTGCCATTACAATACAGAAAGCCCACGTTGGACTATGTGGATCCCCCTGATATTTTTTCGATGGTTTTACTTCATCCACACTAAATATTACAAATTTCATCTTGATTGAGCTAAGTAATTTTATAATATTATATCGAAAAAATAATGATCTTTATTACTATTTGCCTAATTTTATTCTGATAAATCGTAGATTCTAAGCTGTATTACTTCATATGTGTCTGGAGCCCTTCCAATGATATTAATATTAGAATTTCAGGTAAGTCAAATGGATGTATACATGGCATTGATACTAATTTGTTATATATATACACTAAGAATCGGAATTTTTCAAATACCCTTTTTCAAGCAATTTACTTTTTATATAGGGATATAAATCAGCCGTGTAGGGAATCTCAATAAGATCTATACCTTCTCTTTTACATAATTCGCACTTTTTCTGATCTCGTAGTTTTTGAGCTTGTAAATCGCTTTTCTGTTTATGAAACATTGTATTCTCGACATAATGATGGACTCCTTGGAATTCGAACGCCAATTTCAATTCTTCATTATATCCATCTAAGCGTAAACCATCTAGAAATTTTGGTGCACACGGTGTAAATTTTTTATCTAATAAATCCTCAAAAATATATAGACATCTACGTTCTTCTTTGAAATGAGGACACAATGGGCACCACTCAAATTTACGCTTCTGGGTCTTATAAGGTGCTTCCCATTGATGGAGTCCGTTTTCACATGACCAGAGAAAAACTTCCTCATCATTAATTCGACCGGTTTTTTCAAGACAACTTCCACCATGTTTCTTAGCATAGGCTAGGGCTTGATCTAGATCATTATTTAAAACCAGAATAAAATGAACTAAACGGGTATGTTGCTTTTCCGATAATATACTCTGGGGTGGTAGATCGGGCTCACGGGTTAGATGCATGAGTTCTTCTTGAACAAATCCACGTTTTGGAGCGTATTCATCATCATCACTCCCAAGGTAATATAAAACTGGTTCATTTTTCGTCACTATAATTTTTTGAATTTTATGTAACGAAGGACTGAATACTGGATCCGTTACGCGTCTCTGATTTTCCATACCACCTTCCCATTCTGCATTAGCGAGCAGGTAGCGAACTGTATCACCTTTCTTCAACCAATTCTCCTCATATTTTCCAACAGGACGCTTATACTTTGTAGATGGCCTAGATTCCACTCGTTCCAATCTGATAGCTTTTATAGGAGCCAGTCCCCATTTCGAAGAACCCGGAGCTCTAATAAGTCATGTTGGATAATTATTTAGGTAATCTACAACTTTCGGTAAATGCTTAACCCATGCTCTAATTAATCTAGGATTTGAGGATATAGTTTCAACGGCATATTGTACTTTATATAACATTTCTGCTAATGTTTTACTGAAACGGTCTACAACTGCAAGTCCTCAATGGCTATAGCGTCCAATGACTCGAATTGTTACATTATGATCTTGCATTATTCTGGAAGTTTTTCCCATAAATTCGCGCCCTCCATCACATTGTAGTAACCGAGACCAAATAAGAGGAATATCAGGATTATTATAAATTTTTTTAAAGGCTTTGGCAACTTCCGAACTATTTTTAGAAGTGAGTGGAATAGCATATTTAAATCTACTGGCGATATCTACAATAGTAAGTGCCCATTTATATATTTTTATACCTACTATATCATTGGTAAGACGTAAGAGGTCACACTGGTGCACATAATTCGGACAAGTAATTTTACCATAACTAACTCGCGGAATATATTTTGGTGACGGTGCATGTTTCTGCCATTCATTCTGATTCATAAGCCAATCACGCACTTTTTTGAATGGAAATTGGTATCCTTCTTTCTTGAGATCTCTATATAATAATCGAGAATTGGAATGATAACTGGTTGTCTGGTAGTAAAGCAATCTACAGACCAGATCTATCTCCTCATTTGGATCGACTCTAATAATAGGTTTATTCATTTTCGCTATAAGTTAGCGTAAAAATTATCTCATTTTACAATGTAACT